GAATCCACCAGATGCTCTGCCGGGGAAGGAGGGACAATCTCCTCCTGTACCAGTCAGATCTGATTTGACGGTACACTCACACAAAAATAATAAAATATTTAAAAAAAAAAATATTAACAACTTCAGAACCATGAAAGGAGGCCAGAGTTGCAACTAATTAGTTGTCAGTGGGCTTTTTTTGTGTGATTCTTTGGTTTATCTTTAATCCATAAAACTGCAAATAGTTCACCATTTTAATGTCAAAGACAAGAAGAATTTGCAATTCTTCCTCCCCCCCACCCAAGCTGCTTTGCTATCTGGTGGGAGTTTTCCTGTGAACGAAGAGGACAGAAGTTTAACTATTTGTTGAGAATCTCCTCAGAAAATACCCCTGATGTGGCAATCTCAGGTCAAACAAACCAATTTTATCAGCTGACAGACTTGTTTTCTTAGTGCTCAAACAGCCTCTTTCAATAGAAGAAAATACTAATGGATTACCTTCAACTTTGGAGTGCTGGTTACACAGCTTTTTAAAGGCTCAACCTTCACTCTTTGCTCAAATCTATTTTAAAGGGCAGCCAAGAAAAAGAGAGTATTTTGGTGGGAGGTATTTCCCAGCATAATCCTTTGCTCCTGTCATTGCTCCAACAGTAGAGGTAAGTTCTCTTTCATAACATGGGCTATGTTTAAGATTCAGAATCAAAGCACCAACTCCATTCAATTAAAGAGAACCCACAAAACCCTCGGGATGTCTACCTCCACAAAAACGTCAGGCTTTCTAAGAGTAGCGACCATGATTTCTATGTTCTCAAACAATGTCAAAGGAGCCCTAGTGATGGAGTGTGTGTGTACTGCCTTGAAAGGTTGGTGGTCCTAATTCACCAGTTGCTCCTCGGGAGAAAGACGGATGTTCTACTCCAGTTATGCTTTCCTGGGAAGTCTGATGGGGGTGGTGCTGGAGCAGTGGGGTGGGTTAGCACAGAGCACAATGCTCGACAGGTGGGAGCGGTGCAGGGGAAGGGGTTACTCACCAAGAGGGTCACACTTCCACCGGCCCCGGCCCTGACCAAAGCAGGTACAGTTCAGCATGTGGCCTTGCTCGTGACGCTTGAGGAACGTGTCATTCACATTGTAAGTGATGTCGTCAACAAGGCACTGATCTGTTCAGGGAACAATGGGATGGACAGAGAATTTTAACACGGTTCAGTGGAGAAATAAAACAGATTCTTTTTTCTAAAGTGTACAATTGCTTCCACCTCATTATCAACATCCTCCAAGAAGGTAACATTTCTACTGGTACAGAAAAAATTATTCTTTCAACACTTAGTGGTTGAGACAATTTTGGTATTAAAAAAAAAGTCTCTTCTAAAAATGCAAATGTCAGAGGTTAAAGTACATGCAACTAAAAAGGTCAAATACATTTTCCTGTGAAAGGTGACACAGCATTTTTGCAAAGTCTGCTTAGTGGGCCATTTTCTCTGCTTCACAGAGAGGTTTGGTGCAGAGGCGATGCTTGGATTTAGGAAATGAGGTATCTTTGCATCATGAGTTTTGGTGGGGACGCCCCCCAAAGGAGATTATATAGATAATTTGAGAGAGTTTTTTGTCTGACTTAAGTTTGACCGCGCTGTCAGGAGGGGCCTGGAAAGGGACTCCATGCTTGGAAGTGTGCTAGGCCAGTGAAAGGGAAGAAAAGTTTCTATGCGATGGACTGATACCGTCACTGTAACAATGGGTCCAAGCACGACGGAGGTTGTGAGAAGGCGTGATCAGGCAAGGTTTCCGCCTGTTGTGCAAAGAGTCACTGCAAGTCAACTAGGCAACCCCTAACGTAGATAGGAACATAAACACGAATCCACGTGTGCGTGTCAGCTCTGTTCTAATGTCTCAGAGAGATTCTGACCAAGTCACCTTGCCTCCTTGGGTCTCAGTCTCTTGACGGGCAAGGTGAGGTTCTTGGTCTGCACGCCTTCAGCTCTGCAGCCTCACATGTAATAAATATTCTTCCAGAAGTGTCCTCATTACACACCCCACTAGAACACGCTCAGGCTGGTGCTGACGCATCAGCTTCCTGTACTATTTACTAGCTCAGAAGTCCGATCTCAATCTGACTTCAAACTCCCAAAATGAAAAAACTCAAATGTGTTTGCTTTTTTTAAAAAATCAATACTTCTCTGTGTTATCTATTTGTATCATACCCGTCAGGGAAAACCGAATTACACTGCATGGACTGGTCTTGCTATATATTTGAGCCCAACAAATTGGATGTGCGAAGTTCTGATGTTAGAACAGGGACATCTTTTTCCTTTTGAGAATGTATCCAATCTCTTCTAAACACAAATCCCGAGGTGTGACCTGGAGCTCAACAGATTGTGTTTTCTCACCCTTGAAGTCATCTTTTTGGCTCAGTCTCAGTGCTTATACCCTGGGAAGGCTGCAGAATCTCAGAACAGCTGTGCCAGTGTTTCTTCCAGGAGGTTTCAAACGCCAGCCTCCTCCACCAACCAGCACAGCCGTCAAATAGAGCAACACTGCGCTCGTCTGCCCCTGCCTGTGCCGAAGTCCAGGTGTCCCCGTGAAAGCCTGCCTCCCGGTACCCTTTGCACATAGGTGCATTCGCTCAGCAACAACCATACCTCGGAGCTGGGAGTAGGGGATGCACGTCCACTCCCCGCGGCCATTGCCCACACAGGTGCACCTCATCATGTGACCCATGTCGTGCTGCTTGTCCCACTGGTCTCCGATGCGGTACATGACCCCTTCGTTGGTTGTGCAGACTTCCTCGTGAGCTGTTTGAAAACACAAGAAACGTACATTTAATGAAGGCTCGCCAAGTCTCAGAAGCCAGGTCAGGTCATAAGTGCAGTTTGAACATCCTTAAGAAGGCTTCTATGGACAGAAGCTGCATGGGCTTCCAAGTTCAATAACTACTGCATGCAGATGTGGGGTTTTGAGCCCCCAGAGAGAGGCAAGAGAGTTCAAGGGCAAGGTGTGTAGTAAAGAATAATCACAGGAAGGATTAGAGGATGATAAGCCATGACATCGACACCTTCACACAAAGGGTGTGCTTTGTTCTAGCTGTAACTGCATGCGGACTAGTGCCCCATAAATCTTCTGAGCTCATTCTGGTTCAAAGACAAACTACACATATGAATAGAAAATTACAAGCACGTATGTGTTTTCCTTCTACACCCAAAACTGTCTTTTGCTAAAATAAAAGGAAAAAGGTGTAACTTTTTACAAGATTCAAATGTACGTTTGAAAATCCATAGAGTATCAGCTCTAGATACTATAATTGGAAAATAAAATGCAATCTATGAGGTCCTTGGAATTGAAAGAAAGGCCATGGTTTCCTTTCTCCACTCATACAAACTAAACAAACTTGAACCTTTCTCCCTGGTTTTTTGTGTTTTTTTTTAAAGGGCAGACTTACGTCTACAAAACAGAGTTTTGATCATTTTGATATTTAGAAAGTGCTAGATCAAAACAGTGGAGCAATATGTAAGTCTGTGTCTATACCAGTCATACAATAAATGTTTTATGCTCCTCAAAAACTTCTATTTTCAGATTTTTAAAGCTATTTTAATTGCATTATGCATTTTCAGAGTGGCACAACACAAAGGCTGCCTGCTTAAATCCATCCAGAAGTTCCACAGAAGAAAGGTCTGGACAAATGAGTTTGTAAATATTACAGAAAAGATTATCCAGTTCTGGTGTATATATTGCACATGGGTTGCTATGAGGTGGAGGCAAACCTAACAGAAACTAACAGGAAAAAATATATACTTTTGGATATTAAAATATTTTTAAAGTTATATAACCAGGTTATATAACTAGGTAATTATAAATACATAACCTGGTAATTATATCATGATTGTGTGTGTGTGTGTGTGTGTGTGTGTGTGTGTGTGACAGGCAATCTTCTATTATCTCAAAACTGAGTCTTAATGAGAGGAATAATATGAACTGGACATCACTCTTCACCTGAAATGATGTTCTCTGAGAACTTCGTCTTACCAGCCATGGGGCAGAATCCAAACTTCTGGTCAGCATCATAGTTCTGAGTGGTTCCACACCACTTCATGTTGTCTTTCCTGCCCTCGGAGGTACAGTCGGTGTAGTTGTGGTTGTTGTACAGGAAGGGGAAATGGCACAAGGCACCATTGGAATTTCCACCTCGAGTCTGAACCATGACTGCTCAGAAAAAGGCAAGAAAGGAAGAGATAAAGTTAGAGCCAAGCTTCTTCCTAGAGTACCAGGAACGACCACCCACAGGTTCTGACAGTGCCATGTTCCGGCAGTTGATTCACATGGGTTCTAAGCTCAAAACAAGGTGATGTGTGATTTCACGGTTCGAAGATTCCTTAACATGTCCACTTTCACCTTCAAAACCTTTCTATGCCTCTTTTTCCCCCAGCCAAGTCAAGGAGTCGGTGACAGCTTAGAATGCGACCCAATTTCAACCAGAAGATAAGCAAATCCATTCAGGCATCTTCTTTGCAAATTGTTTAGTCCTGTGAGGTTTCTCACTGATCTACAGTACCTTTAGTCACATCATCGTTCCAATGGTGTCATTTCCCCAAGAAATGGAGAACTTGGGAGGATCCCTGGTAGCTAAGCTGGTGCCGCATCTCGAGCTTATCAGTATAAACAAGACAGACGTCTTGTGCAGTCCAACCAGCAAATGAATGGCTTGCCCATCAGAAAATGAGAAAGGGGTGCTCCTCCATTACTTTCTTTCTTGAGAAGACACGCTCTTCCCTTTAGGGATATAACTCTCTAAGAAATCTGTCTTTACTTTTTTACTTTCAAAGAAAAAAAGGCTCAAGAAATGGGTTTACTGCTTCGCTGTTTCTCCCTTCGGACACTCACCAGCGTGGTCTGTGCAGAATGAGTATTTCTGGTCTTGCTCATAATTTGAGGTTGTGCTGCACCAAAGATGTCCATCCTGACGCCCTTCTGTGGTGCAAGAGTAGAAAGTCCTGCCATTGTAGGTGAAGGGCAGGACACAGGGTTCTCCGTTGGCGTTGCCGCCGTAAGTCTGGGTGACGGCTGCAAGCACAAGCCAGAGCTCAGTAAACGGAGCTGGATTTACCTCCTACCAGCAGCTGCTTATTTATAGCTTAAATGGGATGGAGCACGTGAAATTGTCACGGGGAAAAGTGGTGAACAAAGAGAATAACTGGGCTAATTTCAGTCAAATATGTTTCTTAAGAAGTCACTTTTTTTGCACATGTTCTGGTAATTTTATTTTTTTTTAAACCATCTTTGTTGCCATACCCCAATTTCTCCATTTGACTATGTCTGTGCCATAATAAGTAATATGTGAGTATGGTCTAAGGGAAGACTCAAGTACCATTCTTTCATCAAGTGTACCAATTGTTAATACTCTAGTTATGCTTTATGTTGTTGTAAGGTTCTGAGGTATTAGCTTAAAAATTGGCTTTTCTAGCCATTATGTTAGCCTCCTCTGGTCTCCAGCTACCTTAACTGCTGACACATGGTCTTGCAAATCATTAACAGCTGTGAGACTAGGATAAGAGCGAGGAAGTCTTGCTTTCCACACTGAGCAGCAAGACTTGAGGGAGACTAGAGCAAGGCCCTTGTGATGGTGGTAGAGAGACTGTGGCACTGTTATCAAGAAACTGACAAGGTATAACCAGAGGTGTCCTGAGATAAAGGCCAGTTAAAGGCTTTGCTGGGGTTTTATCTTGTTGGATGATGTAAGGAATAGCTAACTGCTGAAGTAAAACCAGAGCCTAGACTAATTGAGGAATTGTGGCTAGGGCTTCTGGGATAAAACTTCGACTTACATTGGCTGATATTCTTTGCCTCCCCCACTCTCCAACTTGTTTCCCTAATACATCCCACTCTGGGTACCTCAGTCTGTCAACACAGCTGTGCTATCCTCACTCCCTCTGGCCGTTTCAGAGAAATTCTCACAGCCCTGTGCCCCCATGTCCAATTTTCTGCTCTCTAGATAGGTACCACTGAGTTGAGTACGACTCAAGGAGCCCTATGAACAACAGATCTGAAACCTGTGCTACCCCATCCCATCCTTATTATCTCTGGCATACTTGAGCCCACTGCTAGAGTCACTGTGTCAATCCACCTCATTAGGGATCCTTCCCTCTTTTGCAGACCCTGCTTTCCAAACATTCCTCGTGTGATATCCCTTTCCCAGAAGTAACCCCTAACAACATGCCTGACATATATGACATGAAGCTTCATCATCCTGCCTCTAAGGAGTACTCTAGACATACTTTCTCCATGACAAATATATACACATTCATGAGACAGTCAGTGAGCTACTCGTTTTATTGTTGTTGTGTACCATAGAGTTGGAACTGACCCACAGTTGACCCTAAAGCAGGTTTTCAAAGGCAATTAATCACGTGGGAGGAGACTGCCCATCCTTCTTCTGTGGTGCAGCTAGTGGCCTCGAACTGTGTGCCTTCAGGATGGCAGTGCAGCTTCTTACCACTAAGCCACCAGAGCTCCCTAGCTTTATATCACCCATAAAATGCATTAGGTTGAAAGTTTGTAACACAAATCTGAAATCTGGTATGCAGAAGATATAATATAGGCAATTAACTAGTAGAAAAATGAAAATAATACACAGTAATTTAAAACCAAACCCACTCGTCTTGAGTTCATTTCAATTCACAGCAACCTTCTATCAGACTTTTGAAACTATAAATCTTTATGGGTGGAAACTGCCCATTTTTTAATTTTTTTTCCCCTGAGGCATAGTTGCTGGATTTGAACCACTGACCTTTGAGTTAGCAGCCCAATGTAATAAACATTACATTATTAAGACGTCTTAAAACAATTGAATCTCATATTATCAATATGGGGCTCTAGTGGCTAATTGGCAAGGAGTTGTGTTTTCAACTCAAAGGCAAGTGGTTTGAATATAGCAATTACTCCAAAGGAGAAAAGATAGGAGACCATCTTTTCATATGAGATTTACACACTCTGAAAATCTGTTGGAGGCTCAGCTATGAGCTGGTTCCGACTCAAGGACCTACAACAACATCATCATATTAACAGGAAGGAGCTCTGGTGACGCAGTGCATAAAGTATTGCTCTGCTAACCAAAACGGCAGCAGATGAGCAGCCTCCCCCAGTGTGAGAAATCCGGCTGCTACAAGCTGAAACTGACTCTATGGCAGTGGGTATCGGGAGGGGCCAGCCTCTGGAGAAAGACATCACACTTAGTAAAGTCACGGGCCAGTGGAAAAGAGGAAGATCTTTAACAAGATAGACTGACACAGTGGCCGCGGCAAGGGCAGCAGTGACCGTGAGGCTGGCCCAGCACTGGGCAGTGTTCGCAGTTATGAGCCAGAGCTGACTGGGCAGAACGTAACAACAGCCACATAAGAAAGGGGCCCTGGCTGTTGTAAGACGCGACTGACATCAGGGTTGAGGGGAGAGTAAGAAAGAGGGGACAAATAATGTACAGTGCATTGAAACAGATGAGGGAGATCAGGGTTGAGGGGAGAGTAAGAAAGAGGGGAGGGGACAAATAATGTATACTGCATTGAAACAGATGAGGGAGAACTGTTTAAAAGCAATATATCATTAGATATTATTATCATGACAGGAGTACAGAATGAAGGCTGAATAGTGGAGTGGACTTGGGGGGCGGGGGGATTGTATAACAAAAGAATTTTTCTTTTACTTTTCAAAGAGAAAAACAAACTGGAGGGGAGGGGTAAGCAGGAAGAAAAGTGCAATAATGAATGAACGGAAATCCAAAGTCTGTAAATGCTCATTAAAATTAAACTAAAATTAAAATTTAAAAAAATAACAGTGCAATATTATT